TTGACCAGTTGATGGGAAAAGTATTCTTAAAATGCATTCAAAATTCGGAATAATTTGTAATATATAATTATTCACGGTATTTAGAAGTGCCCATGATAACAATATCGTGCATATTCATTACCGTGATTTATCACATTACCGAATACCGGCACAAGTCTATTCTCCAGTACTGAAAACAGAACTGATAAGGGAGCTTTTGATATGCACTGTGACGCAGCTCTTGCAAATGACCTTTTTTGTTCGTTGTCTGTCATTTCGAAGCTTAAGTTGCATACGGTTTTCTTTAGTTTTAATTTGCCTAACTATCGATCTGACCCAGTAGACGCCATAGTCCCACTCTGTCTCTCTCCCGTCCCGCTTACTGTTTTTATTTATTTATTTTTTTTAATGGTGGGTGTTTACACAGTTGGCTAGAGCAGTGCTGATTGGGGAGAACGAAGGTGCGCTTACTCTTGACCAGGGCAAGTAAGACTGCAACTCAAGGCTGGTAGTCATGCATATGCTCTGGAACAGAGTAATATCGCGTCCACATCGCAGGCTTTGCGATTAGGAAATCGCAACGTCTCAAATCACGATTTCGATTCGATTTCGATTAATCGCACAGCCCTATTGCACACCCCTAATGACCGCCCACATCCACATCATTGTCTTTAAACAGGGTGGTGTTCACAAAAGGCTAATCAATCATAACAGAGGTCATTTACATGTAGTCTTAAACGAACAGCAACAAAAACAACCTCCTTGAGTCATTTAAAACAATTACGGTTGTTTTGTTGAGACTAACACCATGCAAGCTCCTCTTAGAACAGCGCATATCAGTTTCCACACCTCTCCACTTGCCAGAGCTCTGACGTTCTGGCTATTAGCTCATCATGAGTGTCTGAATAGCTAAGAGCAGAGGTGGAAAACTAGCATCTCATGGGAATAAAAACAGCCTTAGTAACCATGGCAACATGGAGAGAAGATGCTAATCTGCGTAATCTGGCCAGATATGCTAGTTGTTAACACGAAAACCTCATGAATTTCAAACCACAAGTGACTGAAAATAAAAAGGCAAATGTCAGTATGGGTAGGTACTTACTATGGGAGGTATAGCGGCTGCTCTCTGCTTGAGCTGTTTGAGGTCCAGCGGTTTCTGAAGTGGAGAAGCGATCACTCCATCATGGGCGAAACTCAACAAACTCGGCCTAGCAGACGTCATTGTGTTGAGAGTGAGAAGAGCAGAGAAGAGTTATTGCTTAATATGGTCAGAACCTCATTCTCTCTTATTTACTGTCTTTGTAAACAGCCCATTAATGCCACAAAACCACAAACACACACACACTTAATCATCATCGCAACACACAAACAAATATAGACACTCCACATGCAGTCTTATGGAAATGTAAAATGCAAAATATACAAAGACAGCCAGACAGGCACACACACTTCTCGCTCTGTTATGTTGGGCAAGCTCACAGGCTGTTTCCCCTGACTCGCCCAACATATACAGTGTTTGCTGTCGTGGAAAAAAAAATAGAGTCCTACAGGACAAATCAACAATCCCAGCCCCCTTAACCACAAAACACATCAGACCCCACCCAAGCAACCAATCAGCCCTCGCTCTCATACACACACATGCACACTCTCACCTGTTCTTGTCTGAGCTTTCAGTCTCCTCCACCTCATCGGCGCTGCATGTGGCGCTGGAGTCGCTGTCTTGAGCTCCGCTCTTTCCTCCATGCTCTTTCGTTTTGATCTCTTTCTTGCCCTCCTCCCCCTCCAGGGCAGGAGGCTTCTTATCTTCTCCTGCTGCCTCCTTACAACACTCCCCTGGTTCGATCTTTACCTCCTGCTTCACTCCTCTCTGTTCCACCTCTCCTTTCTCCACTTTTGGCATTGCATCCGGCCCCATCTCCGTAGCTGCCATGTCTTTGTCCGTGGAGGACGAGGAGGAAGTGGCGTTGGGTGCAGTTTTAGGCCGTCCGGAGCCCTCTTCTTTGACCTTGCTGTCATCCGAGGAGCGTGGGGAAGGGAGGCTCTCGGTGTCTGAGCTGTTATTGGCTCCACCTGAAAAAAAAAGAACATCGTAAGAGGGCAGGACACTAATATCAGCTGATCTGTTGAGTGTGGTTTGATTGGTAAGGCGGTTGTTTTGGGCACTTCATTTTTCAATTTGGGGCCATTGAAAATTCTATTATTTGTTTTATCCATTTTAAAACATTTCTTTTATGTTCTGGAATAAAGATCTGATTATGGACATCATAACTTAAATTTTGGTAAAGTACAATACTGTTCAAAAATTTGGGGATGGTAAGCTTCTTTTAATGTTTTTGAAAGAAGTCTCTTATGCTCACCAAGGGTGCATTAATTTCCGAAAAAAAATACAGATTATAGATAGATTTCTATCTATTTAAAAATTTTATTTAACCCTGTGATGGCAAAGTTGTTTTTTCAGCAGCATCCAGTCTTCAGTGTCACATGATCCTTCAGAAATCAATTATAATATGATTTGCTGCTCATGAAATGTTCTTATTATCAATGCTGAAACAAGTGTGCTAATTAATATTTTTGTGGAAACCATGATGCATTTAAGTATTCTTCGATAATTAGAAAGTTTGTAAGAACAGAATTTGAAATAGATTTTTTGTAACATTATAAATGTATTACACTCTCACTTTTGATCAATTTAAAACGCAATCTTTCAGAATAAAACAATATCTTTTAAAAAACATACTGATCCCAAACTTCTGAACAGTACTGTATGTGATGGTGATATATAGTAAATTGTGTTTGATTATGATAACAAATTTTGGAGAAATAGCTGGATAAACATTTAACGCAAGCTAGCTAGCTGTCAATTAACTTGAAAAGAAAGGCAACTGTTTTTTAAATAATTTTCTGACCGCTGTATCGACTTCTATACATGCTCTTCTCACTTCTTATTTTCATCATAACGAAACAAACATTTTAAGAAATGCTTGTCCTCTGAAATGATTAGTGTAATGGACAGGAGTAATGGGACAGTAATTAAAAAAAAAGTGATTCTTCGATATATTAAGAAAAACTATAAATTGCACTTATAAGAACCAAAGACAACTTTTAATAACAATATGATTTTTAGGCAAGGGAAGTACAAAGGATTCACCTAATTTATTTAATAAATTATGAAGAGGAAGTTAAAATTCCAAAATGGTGAAATTCTAACAAATGTAACATTTCTTCACTCTTGAAAGTAGAAAAAAAGCCATTAAACAGATACCATAAACAGCAAAAGCTAATTTAGCATGTCCTTTAAAATTGAACGAATGCTTTGAAAAACAGTTTCATTTTAAAATCAACCGAAAAGCTCCTCAACGAAGAATCACTCTTATCTAAATCTAACATGTCCTTTGTCAAATCAAAAAGTAAACGTAACTAGAAAATACACAGCAGGGGATTATGATAAGCCTCATTTTCCCACTGGCATAACAAACCCCAGCCGTTGAGTGTGCTCTCCCAGCTGGATGTAATTACACAATAACCATAACATAATAAGCACTTCCCTTGCTGGCTTTCTTTCACAAGCTTTGACCTGATAAATGTGGCTTTATGAAAGCTTACGAAAGCCATTTATCGGCAAGCCACACCTGATTGCCAAACACACAGCACAAAGCGTTTGTTTCATAGCTGCCTGGCGGACTTGTGGAAGTACGACATCCACAGCACGACACACACTTTGACACCTAGACAGTTTGATCGCTCCGCTATAACACAACCACGTCACAAAACGCCGCTCTCCTGGAAAAGCAATTTATGCTTGTGCAGAGAGTGTCACCTCTTTCTCAGAACTCGACAAAAGTAGGTCAGGGTTGTATCACGGGTGAGGTCATAGGTGAGTCTAGGCCACGTGTTCCTGATATTCTGAGAAAAGCACTCTGCCGTTCGATTCGAGCTGCTGTGGGACTTCCTGCCAGCCACAAAACCTCAGAGGTGTTTGGTTTCATTGTCAATTGTTTCATAGCTACGGCTGATAACATAATTACCAAACTGCTCATTTGTTTCTCAGATCTTAACTCTGAGTTTCATTACTTCCATTACACAAAGTCAGTGAGTAATGTGCAACAAATGACTGTGTTTAAATGGACATTAGTCTTTGTGTAATAATTACTGCATGATGCTGTGTGAGTGTGCAAGAATCAAGCGCTTGTGTCCATACCCTCTCCGTCATCCTGAGCCTCCTCCTCATTGCCGCTGACTCCCGATCCCTCCATCTCCTCTTCCTCTGCAGCAGATGGAGCGCTGGCCTCCTCGTTCTGAAGAGCTTTACCTTTACGTCTGGCCTTACGCTCTTTCTCCTACAACGAACACAAGCACAAAAACAACAACATGAAACCAATACTGCTGACAACTATAAATAATTCAACCCGCACTCTCTAAGAACTGACCGATTTTATTTTATGCTGTTGCAGAATCTCATCCAGTTTCTGTCTCTTCTTGTAGTTAAAGTAGAAGTTCTTGCACTGGGAGACTGTTTTGGAGCCCACCATCTTGGCGATAGCGGACCAATTTCTGCCATACTGGAGCAGACCTATGACAGTAAGAAAAGGAACATTCTCACTTTACTAACGTAGAAACAGGAACAGAACTATGAGTGATAGAGTAACTACCGTCATAGTTATTTCAACACATGAGAGTCAGCGTCATCGTCTGCATGACACAACAAAAATGTCCCTTTATTGATACGGAGAATGGGAACTGATGAGGAAACCACTATAATGACCAGATTAATTGCAACTGCATTTTTAAATAGATTCAAATAAAAAACAAGTATTTGAAATCAAATCAATGCATCCTTGGTCCCAAACTTTTTAACAGTAGTGTATGTGTAGGTCTCATTTTTTTCCCCTACCTGGTGTCCCACTAAGTCACATGCACTCAAAATAGGGCAGCACCAAGGCTGTTACAGTTTATGTAAGATTTATATTACACACTGCCTAACACACAAAATCCCTGCGCGCTGGGTAACGCAAGCCTCAAGCGTTCCCATTTGCCCAGCCGTTGCCGTTGTCATTAAGAAAAACCTCAATAAAAGGTCAAAGATCATGTGCTGCCACTTGCCGTCTGAAGGAGGAAAGTGGGGCAACAGCCTGACATGAACTGTTCTCAATCATTTAACAACAAGCTAACACTCAGCAGACATCAGCCAAGTCATTGTATGCTGGTTAGCTTCACATTAGGAACCTCTTGTCCAGTCTAAACAGCTGCTTTGATTTATATCGCTAGTGACCACAATAAAGCGCTGCTGCCCTCCACATCAAAGCTAACAAGACAGTCAGTGTAGATTGCACAAGGATGGAGAGAATGAGATGGAGAGATAAAATGAAGAGTGTAAGTAGAAAAAAAAGCCCTTAGTGACACAAACAAGCAAAGCAAGAAATCATTTGAAGTCTGATTTGTATGCTTATCCTCACCATCTCTGATCCTTGTTTCTGTCTCTGTTTATTCTTCAAACTTCCAGCTGTTTGTCAGAAACGCACGCACATCCTAATCTATGTAACATGGCAAACACACACAGACACTGCAGTGCAAAGGCAGCTTAAATAATAGCCTGCTTAGCAATGTACACATACACAATTACCCAGAAGTACTTCTATATAACAGGTCAAAAGTCAAGGAAACTCCATTCTTGCCCAATCCAACAAATGGCAAAGTAGCGGTTAAATCCAGTGAAGGGTCAAACTCTGTCCTAAACTGAAATGCAGGTTTCATTCATCTTCAATTTCAAAACATTGCATTTTGTCCAGTACCTCCAAATGTTAAGAGTACTCCAATAAGACAATGCTGTCCAATCAGCTTTGGTAATTCAAGAGCATGCACCAATGCTACATCCAATTGAAATCCTCAGCACTGGCCCACTGTGGATCATCCAATCAGGGAGTTGCATAAAGAAAATATGCGGCCCCTCTGGTCCACTCTTCCTCTCTTCTCTATTACTCCATCAGTCTTTTCTTCTTCACTCACATGATTTCCATGGAAATGCACAGCAGAGGCTCTTGGAGCTCCAGAACAGCATGAGGAAGAGCAAGAAAGAAGAAGAGAGAAAAAGGGAGTGGTGTTTGGGAGGGAAATGAACTCCCATTGTTCCTCTGATAGTTGCGCTGTCGTTTCTCTGATTCTCTCTAAACAGAGCAGCGCTTCTCTTTTTCTTCTTCTCCTCCTCTCCCTCCCTCTCTCTCTCTCTCTCTCTCTCTCTCTCTCTCTCTCTCTCTCTCTCTCTCTCTCTATTTATCAAACTCACGCGCTTTCTCTCGCCAGCCCTCTCTCTCTTTCTGTCTCAAGGCCACAGTTTTTTTCCACTCCTCTTCAATGGCTGCCGCTTGGCTGGACTTTAACAGCAAAGTGAAGCTGAGATACAGTGACTCCACCTCCCTAATGCCCGTACTCCCTCCCTCCCTTCACAACCTCATCTGACCTCTTCTATTATTCTCTCTCTTCTGCGCTCTCTAATGCATATTATCTGTGCCAAAACACATCTACGCTCAAACACACAAAAACAAACAGACAATGAGAGCAAGAGATTGTGGCAGAAATAAAGAGAAAGAGAGATATTTAAGAGGGTTGATGTTGATATCATGAGAAAGCAGAGAGAAAGCAATTCCTCCTAACTGACCTGCGTTTCTTCTTCAATGTGACCTTTACACACAGTCCTTAACAACAGTGTGAGAGAGGGAGAAACAGGGAGGCTTTGCCAAATCCTCTAATTCGTGCCAACCCACAATTCAGCCACTTCCTTTCTCTCTGCACTCCAACAACTGAATCTAACCACTCACTCAATGTTACAGAAAGAAAGAAACTGAAAGACAGGGAGACAGAAAGAAAAAAGACAGCTAGAAAAACAGAAAAAGACAAATTCAAAGACAGACAGATAAAAAGAAAACAAACAGAAGGAAAGAGAAATAAAAAAAAGAAAAGAATTACAAATAAAAACAGATGGATAAAAAGAGAAATCTAGCAGAAGACAGAGACAGAAATAAAAGAAAAACAGAAAAACAAAAATGGAGACAAAAACAAAAAGATAGACAGAAGGGAGAAAGAGAGAAATAAAGAAAGAACAAACAACAGAAAAAGATAAAAAGACAAATTTAACATAAGACAGAGACAGGAATAAAGACAGAGAGAGAGCGAAAGAAACAGACAGAAAAACAATGCGAGAGACAGAAAGAAAAAAAAAAGAGTGAGAGACAGAAAGACAGAGAATGACAGAAAAAAGCTACAAACAACAACATAAAAACAAGAGTTTGGAAAAAGAAAGGCCGCTACACACTGCAGCTAAATTCGGTTGTTACTCCTCTTCAGAGAGCTGAATCTTGTTCTGTTCACATTGACTTCACTTATTCACAGGACTGACAACTGAAGCGACTTGTTTATTTAAATACAGCTGTTACTCTCAAAACTGCAGTGTGTATGTGGCAGTGTGTGTTTTTGAGAGAGAATTATATGAAAAATTTGTACAATGTCACACATTTATCAGCATTTTCTAGAGCTAAAAAAAAATGTCATATGCACACACATCGGTCTGCAGCTCCTGCCTCTAAAGAAAAGCATTTAAAAAGAACACGGGAGGAGAGCTGTGTGCAGTAGCTCTAGGTTATATGTTACACAAGTCTTAATCCTGCCATCAAGTGCCCCCACGGCCACATACACACTCACTTCCCCTCATTTACTCAGAGACGTGAACACAAGCGAGGCCACCCTGCCTTTAAAAGGCTGTGCCAGTGTGCATTAGTCACAGAGGAGAGCTGCTCTCTCTCTCTGTGTGGAGGAATGCAGCGAGACGGCCAGGTGCCATTAACATATATTACTGTTGTCTCCCTCTCCCGCTTTAAAAATGAACACAGATAAACACATTAGCATAGACAGCTGTAAGCAGATTTAAAAAGCACAGGCAAGGTAATTGGCTGGTGTTAAGAGGGTCATGGGGTGAGGGGTGGCAGTATATTTTGGAACAGAGTAATAGTAAGACAAAGACAAAGCAGGCACACTAAGGGTAATAACAGCAGCGTTGGGAAAGATTGCAGTCTAGGCTTGGCTTTGATGGTACACTATGTTAACCAGACACATCAAATAAAAAATGCTGCGAGTTGGGGAAATTATATGAATGAATGAATAAATAAATATTAATAAATGATAAAGTGAAATAAAAGGGGGTTGTGAATTAAAATAATTTATTTAAATCTATAAATGAAAAAAATTAATAATAAATAAATAAGGTTCTTGCGGAATTTAATGGATGAATTAATTAATAGATAGATAAATAAATAGGGTTCTAGCATCACAATAGTTTATTTAAATGTATACATTGATGAATTAAAATGTATGTGTGTGTGTGTGTATAATATTTTAAGTGTTTTTTTACACCTTCTCTGACCCTCAAAATTAAACCGATTTCTATGCAGATGCCCTTTTTTAAGACATAAGAAATCACTAACTACTTTCAAGTTACTGAACAGAAAATTGGCACAAAATAAAAATAAAAAAAATCATATGTTAACTTGCTCAGGGTTGTGATGTACTGTATTGCAATATTGTGACAACTTCTGAATGAGCTGTTTTTGCTAATTAATCATCATGCATTAACACCAAACCCTCATTTCAAAAGAGCGCACTTCAAAATAAATGTGAAGATCTATAAAATCTAAAACATTATATAAACAAATACTTGTTGGCATGGAGTCAAGGTCAAGTTCTTGTGATTGTAAACAACAAACTTGATTAGGCCCAGGGGACTTTATCATGAATTAAATGTTAAGTTGCAGATCCTGTGAGTGGTGTGGAGTAGGCGGCCTGATGGATCAGATGTAATGTGCCGGTGCCAGAGAAACAGAGAGCTGTTAACAGAGCGACGTGGAAGCAGCTCATCTGAAGTAGGTCAGCAGAGCATCCGTTTAACACACTAACAGTCTACATTACAGACCAAACACTGACACATACAAGAAAGAAGATTAGACCTTTGCTCTTTACTCAAAGTTTCTGTTTTCCGCAAATATAATCCCACATGAAGTTTTGAAGGTCCATTAAAGTCACCATGAAATCAAAACTGAAAATTCTTATTTTTTAATGGAATACTGTAGTGTTTATTATAAATAATTTATCCGTGCACTTCATAATTTTTTTTTACAATTCATGTTTCCTCGTAATCTTTAATCAAAAACGTTAACCTCCCCTCCCCCTCAAAACGACTCATCTTCTCTTCCGGTCACGAGCTATGGCGCAAGGGCGGAGCTATCTGGAACTGCCAACAGCTGCAGTGACATCAGTGACGTTTGGGGGGAAAAGCTGAAGCTGATGCTTCACTTTATAGCACTGACACCAGTCACGAGGGAGTACGTTACCCCTAAACATTGAAAAGATATTAGGATATTACGACAACATTACTCTTAGGACATCGTAAACAAATTTTTTTTCATGAATATGACTTAACCTGATGGAGGATGCGCTCAAGTCATTCAGGCAGTGTCTCTCTCTCTCTCTCTCTCTCTCTCTCTCTCTCTCTGTCTCTCTCTCTCTCTCTCTCGTGCACGCTGTTAGGCATGTTTTGTGCCGTTGATCATCGTCGTCATCCTTAATAAATAAAACATTTATTCATGCTTGGGTGTCGGCTGTGAATCCAGTGGAGAGAAATCCCCCACCACTAACTGCAAACTGGCATTCAGATATGCCTCCATTTTGTTAGCAACGCCCCAGCTTCCAACGATCCAATCAATTCCCGAAGGATGAAATCAAGTCCCGCCTTCTCATTTCAGATGCTGTTTCACTCGGATATACGTCACAGTAGAGAAAAAAAGACAATCGCAACTTCCGTTTCATGCCGACTTTAATGAAGCTCTTGTTCCTAAACCATGAGTAAATGACACGTCCGGCTGTCATATAAAGATGCGGCTCCCACATAAAGACACATTATGATGTGTATCACTAAGTGCATGTGTGTGGAATGAGGCCAAGGGCACAGTGTGTGATCTAGTGCTCATGTAAATGTTTGTGGAGTTGCTAGGCTAAGTGTTACACAGGTCTTATCAGGCAGAGTTACGTCTAGTTAACTGAACACAGGGAAATCCTAACGGTCAACATCCAATCAAGACAAACAAAAAGCCCATTATGACCTTTTCTGAAAACATTATTGTCTTTAAAACTATATTTTGATCCAGGCCACCTAAATAATAAAAAAACACACTGAGGGGCCATTCACACAGAATGTGTCTTTGCGTCTAAAAAGCGCAGCGTAGAACGCGAGGGTCTTGAGACGCGCCATGCTGCCGTCAAATAAAACAGTTGTCATGCCAACTTGCTACTGTAAAAAGAAGCTTGCAATGCTTGCCCCGCCTCCGAGTTCTTCTGATTGGTCCACTGCTTTGGAACTGACATTGGTGAGCGGTGCTGCGTGTAAAAGTTGAAATTCTTTTAACTTGACAAGGCGTCTTAAAAACGCTGCGCTCATGTGCGAGGCGCTGCAAAAGACGCGAGACGTGAGCGTAACGGTTATGCATGTCCGTCAAGCGCTTGTTTACACAGAAAAACAATGGAAAAGTAGCGCACTGGAATGGAAAAACGTGTTCTGTGTGAATGGCCCCTCACTAATGTGTTTTGTAAGGTTTTCTAACTTAATTGTTTGTCTATACTGTGACAATACTGTTTATTCAATAAATGCAGTAGTGACAAAATACCAAACATGGGTTCTGACCTTTCTTTGCGGTCTCCATCTCCTCTTCAGTCCAGCGAGAACTTTCATTCATCTCCAGATTAGCTAAAATGTACAGAGAAGAATGTCATGTAATGTGAAATAATAACGAAGTCTCTATAATGAAATTCAGCGTCCATCTTGGTAACAACCCAGGTTGCTGTTTTCGGTTTACTTTCTAAGTGCAGCTTCTATCTACATGAATAGAAGAGATCAAAATCTCCAAAACTGTTTCAATAAAATAGTTTCAATAAACTATTTCAATAAGCAATTAAGGCCCAATCCCATTTCTACCCCCTACCCCTCTGTTTTGCACGTTCATGTGAAGGGGTGTCTCGATTCTCTTTTGGTTGGAGGGGTAAGGGTAAGGGGAAGAGCCATATAGCCCTTCAAACTAAGATTTTCCGGGACCACACTTCAAACAAAGAGGTATGAATTATCTCAGTGTAAACCGGCTACATCGGCAACATGGCTGCCCGAGCGAACAAAAAGACACATAAATGTAAGCATTATTGGCATTAATAAAGATTTTAATGTAAATTAATAATTTGTTTTATGTTACATTCAATCGTGTGTTCATATTTACGGCCATGTTATTCAAAGAAATGTTTGCAAAAATTTGCTAACATCATATCATTACAGACTGCACGATAGTGCCACAACATATTTTCATGTCTGATCAGGGCGATAACCACCGTAGACATTTGGGGGTCTAGTCCCCCAATAATTAGAAATCGCTAATGTTTTTTCTCAAATACCTATTGCCAAATCGAGAGAGAGAGAGAGAGAGAGAGAGAGAGATAGAGAGAGCATGCGCTTATGTGCGTCTCTCTTTACAATGAGTGAGTTTACTTCAAAAACAGATTTTATCCTCTCATTGCTGGAAAATATAATGCAGCGATTCAGTATTTAAACTGTTAGTAATAAGTTGTGGGGCAGCGTTGACAAGTTTCTTTGCTCCTGGATGTGTGAGCTGTGCGATCTCCGATATGTGTGTGTGTGTGTGTGTTAGTAAGCAGCACATTAATATAGAACGTTAAGGCTCTAATACACCAGAATAGGTGTGTGTATTGTAGGAGCTAGACGACGCATGATGATTTGTGATGGTATAGTAGTGGTGTCCCGATTCTTAGGGGAATATTTTCACCCCTACCCCTTGACACTCTGTTTCAAGGGTTAAGGGGAAGGGGTAGGCAGAGGGGTAGGGTAGGGGTAGTCGACACAAACTAAAGGTTGCAAATTCATATCCATACTTTAAATTACTTAAAACTAAACCAAACTAAAACCACAAACGGGCAAAGGCAGAAACTCAAGGTGAAGTGACTTATGAAAATGACTCAAGCTCTTGTGACATTAGTAAAAGTCCAAGAGCTGCCACAGGCGCTGTTTTGACCCTCATGCTGAAGTATAGGGGACGTTTTTAACTGAAGCACAATCAATATAAGTTCAAGAACACTCTTAGCTAAGCTAGATGAGCTAAACATCATGAAAAAGTGCATTTCGGAAATCGAAATGCCTTCTCATCGTAAAACCAGGGAACACTGTGACACTCAGGGGACAGATGGTTTCTACTCAACCATCGAAGTATTTGTACAGCATTTCATTATTAGGAGCATTCTCGTTCTGTTGATATTGCTGATATTGCTGTCCTCACATTTAGGGAAAACAGAAAAGGGAAGTTATAAATCTACAAGTGGGACAATGTTATACAATAAAAGGTTGAGCACGGTTAATTTGCAGAGCAAAACAAAGAACTCATTTGAACACATGACCTCAGAGACCCACAGAAGAAGTCAATGGTATGCAAGTGTTTGCTAACCCAGCTCAGTGCTTAGCGGTGAAGTGTTCTCTTCCTGCTCGTTGGTCATAGAGCGAGTGACTCGTCCTTTCCGGTGACCGCGGCTGTTTGCGGTGCGCCGGCCTTTAGCGGTTGCAGGAGGCTCTTTCTCCTCCCCGTCCTCACCAGAGGTGTCATCTCTGCGAGAACAAAAAAAAAAAATCATCATAGTCGAAACAAGCTCTTATCGCAGCAAAATTACTCATACATCATGTTTGATTATCAGATAGATAGCTAGACAGACAGACAGACAGATAGATAGAGCGTATCAGTCAACATTTCTAAAATCAGAGCATTCTTATTAGAAAAAACATTTGTAAGATATAATAGAATAAATTTTTGAGAATAACTTTTTGAACTGTTAACCGATAACACACACAACCTAAAAAAGCCCTATATGAAGGTGAACACACAATGCAAACGCTGGCTCACTAGCTAGTATATTCCCCTTCAGCTGTACGACACAGTGTCAGGAAGTGGCTGTGGGATGAGCAGACCCTAATTTATCTTACCTGCACATTATCCATCTTGCAGATACAGTACTAAATATAGGAGCAGCAGCTGTGCCCGCAGGTTGTGAGAATCATGGGGGAGAAGTCCGAGAAATGCACAGACTCGGCTTAATGCACTCATTTAATGTATAGCTGGGCATGCTGTGGAGTATACTGAGGCCTGTGTATTCGGGCCAGTGCTAATGTGCTCTAATCACACCCTGCAGTACTGCTGACTGCACAGGTTTAGTTTAGATTAATACATTGTTACCTGTACTTCCCTAGAGTATTTTAATATAGTGTGCACCTGCGAGTGAACTAGTGTTCAGAAACTAACAACTCACTAAATTAGGCTGAAATGATACAGAACCAGCATCTGTGCATAGTAGTGCTGGGTGGTATACCGGTTCATACCGAATACCGGTGTTTATTTTTGTTATGATATGAATTTTTAAAATACCGCAATACCGGTGTATGTAATCAAAAATAGTGTTATACCTATGAAGAGTTCATTTGCAGTGGTGAGGGAACAGCTGTATGTGTTACTAAGCGTGAAAGTTCCGAAACTGAAGCTGTAGAACTAATAGAACGTGGTGACACAGAAGAACTCATCCACAATATCCACATTGACCGCCACAAATATCCACCGCCACAAATATCCACCGCCCCCTGCCATCAGCTCCCGCGTCTCTCACACACACACACACACACACACACAC